TTGTTAATTTGGAATAAAATCGAATAACATTGTGTACGATATATGCGATGATGTCTTAAAAGGTGATTTTTTTTATAATATTGAAACTTGATTTAATATTATCATACAACTTATAACGCTAAAAAATATGGATCGATCACTCCTTAACAACCAATCAAAATAAAGAAATAGACTACTAGTGAAATCTGAAAAAAAAAAACGAAATATATCCTGATGTAGTTGAGTTTTTAGATCAGCTCAAGATATATAATAAAAACATGTCTTCGATATATTAGTAAGAAAAGTAGAAAGTATATTTAGCATAACACTACTTATACCTCATTTTGTTTTCAAACATAACGAGTTACTACATCTTCTTGCAAAAGCGTGTGAACGTCACGGTCGTCTTGGCAACATCAAGGACTTCTCTCTCTCCAAAATTCTTTGATTCACGTTGAAGGTATTGCAGCATAGATTACTCATAATGAAGCCGTTCATATAAGGTAAAGAAACCAAATTTGGTTTATTAAACGTGTTCTTAATAAACTTAAACATTAGTTTTTCATACATCACGTAATGCCACCAAATGCACGACTGCATTAGAAAAGTATATTGATATGCTTTATCTAATGATTAATTGATTTTTAGAAACAGTATGCTTAAATATGCATGAAAAATAGTCGAGGCGTTTAGAACTCCAAAGTTTTGTTTTTGTTGTTAAAGTGTTAACAATAGCAAAGTTTCCTGCTGTGACGTTAAAAAGTAGAGATTCATTTCAAAGTATGAATAATTGTGTAAAAATAGTAACAAAAGAAAAGTTGGAGATTCCAGTTAAAGAATAAGTGTTCCAGAATTTCCTTTTGAAGCGTAGAAATTCCAGTAGCTAATAATGTGAAACCTACAAAAACGTTTATCGTTCCATTGCAAGGTATTTTTAAATATTATTGTTGAAATTTCAAAATGCAACAATTCCAGTTAAAGAATAAGTGTTCCAGAATTTTCTTTTGAAGCGTAGAAATTCCAGTAGCTAATAATTTGAAACCTACAAAAACGTTTATGGTTCCATTGCAAGGTATTTTTAAATATTATTGTTGAAATTTCAAAATGCAACAATTCAACTTTTAAACGAAGAAATGTCTATATTTTCGTGATGGAGAATTGAATTTTTTTAATCTTTAGAGATTTTAGTTTTTCCTTTTTGTGGAGTTGCTATTTCAGTTTCTTTTTAAACCTTTATAGGTTCTAGTTTGTTTGTTTTTTATGAACTCCAGATCTTCTTGTTGAAATCCTTAAACATTCTAATTTTTTCTTCTTGGGGGCTAAACATTATACAGTATATTATTAAAGAATTAACAAATCTAAATGGGTATTTCAAGATTTGCAGGATTTCTTAGATTTTTTTAGAGCTTTCAGAATCTTATTTTTGTAAGAGGCTAACAATTCTATAATTTGTTTTTAATAGGAAAGTTAAGGAAATTTCAAGTTTAGAACACCTTAGTTTCACATTATCATCCTGGTTGATTGATATCGTGTTTCCTTACAAAAACACATCTAAAAGGAAATGGATAAATAAAAGATATTCCACCTTGCTTTCCGTCTTACAATTCATATATATATATGTGTGTGTGTGTGTGTAATCTACCATGAAATAATAGATTAATATCTTAAATTGCTCAATTAAATTGTTATTTGATAAATACTTACTGAAATAAGGATACAACTTTAGGAAAATTCCAAATTAGTGTATACTTTGCAAAGGCAAGAAAATTGTAAATATTGGGATTTTAAGAAACAAATTATAACATTATATGCTAAACAAATAATAATAATGCATATTGGCATATCAGTAGCATATCTATTTCAATATTTAACGTAAGAAATAAATGTTAATTATACTTAAAACACGTGTCGTCGTATTTCGATTACCAAGTGATGTTTCGTAAACTTCTTTATTAATAAAGCGCTATTATTTATTATGTCTAATTGAGCTAGTACAGGTAAACGTTATAAAGTTATTTAGCAGAGTGTAATACAACATTTGTGATAAATATTAGAGTATGTTTTTATTAAAGACCCAACTTAAAAAAAAATAGAATCAACACCCTAATCAGACGACGAGAATTAGAAGTTCGAGAGTGAGTTCAGAAAATAAATTAGCAGTTTAAGGTAATATTGGACTTAAAGCTGTTGTAATAAGTAAGATTCCGAATTCTTGGAATACTATTTTAAAGGCACATTCATTACTAACGACAGAATTTTACTATTCGCACATTTTTATTTTATAAATTTTCTGTATTTGTTTGTAGCTAAGTACAAAGCTACACAATGGGTTATCTGTAATGTGTCCATCAAGGGTATCGAAACCCGGTTTTTAGCGTCAAGGCCTTTAGACTTTCCGCTGTGGAGGAAGGGGCATTTTACTATGTTTTGTGTTTCTAGGTATCATAAAATAAGTAACTATTAATTACTATACTAGCAATGTTTCAGTACTATTAATTACATTAAGAAAATTGTTTACACTGTTTTATAACAAATATGAAAATATTTTGTATAATTAAATTTTCGATAAGGAAAATAACGTTTTTGGCACTAGAGATTGTTAGCTACTTTTAAGTAGCTAAATTTGAAATTATAAGTTTATTTAGTATACCGGGACGGAAAGACTAACTTTAAGTAGCTGGGCATGTCTTGGCTTTCTCGTGATATACTTGAATAAGTTTTCAAGAGAAAGGGAGGAGGTTGGGAATATGAACTACATAAGAAATATTAAGGTAGGGCTTGTAGTTCTATTTAAGATCATTTTATTTAAGATGTTTTATTATTTTATTTCTTTTGTAAGGGTGGAGGTTGGGAGTTGCATCTAGTAGAAATGTTTCATTTCTACTTTAGGAATTATAAGGATTTTTAAGGGTAACTGCCTTTCTACAACTGACTGCAGACAGTGAAAGGCAGTAGGAGTTCAGATGTTGTGGGTGTAAGCACTCAACTCCTTACCAGTAATTGATATCCCATGTTTGCTGGCTAGTGTAGCATCAGCATTTGAATTTTGTCTCGTAGATGGGATATTCCCAACACATTTGGGAGCTATTACTGCAGGCTTTATCCGGTAGGACTTTTAAGGTTACAACTAGGATTGACAATGGATTCTTTACTAAAATCTTCTATATATTATATTTTAAGATTTTTTATCCGAATTTTTAGGTAATATAAAATGTTAAATCTAAAAGTGAAATAATTAAAATAATAATACATTAGAGCTTACAGTTTAGAATCTTAACATTACATGACTTCCAGGCAAGCGTTTATATCCTCAGCTTTTCCTGCAGTGTACGACAGCAGAGGGACTATTTCACTAGAACTCTTTGATTCTCAAGGGCTTGAAAGTAAGACTCTTTCTGTATGCTGAACACGTCTAGGGTTAAATTAAATACCTAATCTGTTCCAAAAAATGATGGATATTTAATAGTTTTTTGTTGTTGTTGTTTTCAGTTAACGCACATATTCAGAAATACTGTTTCATGGCTAAGAAATAATATTATTTTGAATAACTTATAAGCTAAACTTTGTTCGGTACAAAAAAATGAATTAAACCTTCTTATATTTTTTTCATAGATCTAATAAACGTTCGTTAATTAATAGGGTTTTTTATCATTTCGCCCCTGGAAAGAATTTTCAATGTTGAGAAAACACTAAATCAAGTCAATGTTTTATGCTTTCTAACATAACTTTCAGTATTTATTTTGAAATAGTCATGACTCCAGGTAGGACAGCGATAAGTCTAAGGATTTACAGTCTTAAAAATCCGGGGTTTGGTTTCCCGTGGTAGACACAGCAGATAGCCCAATTTGGATATACCGTAAAATAAACAAAACAAACCTGTCATTATTTGTCTGTAAAAGTTGTTATATATGACGTTCTTTAAGCGCCATCTATTACTGGTTTTCTCAACTCAAAAGAAAATATTGTTTGTTTGTTTTTCCGAAAGAGCCCCGAAGGCTGCCTGGAAGGGTCATCTGTTTTAACCACTCGCACCTCTATACAGTAGTGTGTTGTCTGTCAGTCAGTCAGTAGACATTAAACTGACCTCACATAAGGGGCGCTTAACGTTGAAATTTGAACTGTTATGACGTCAGTAAAAAATTATGTCCTCTGTAGGCTACAACAAGCATGATCTATTAACTTCAAAAGCAAGAAATAAATATGCTTATTATTCTTCATTTTCGTTTTATTTACTCTTGAAACAGAATACTTTCGGAGAACCTGCGGAAGTAAATCTAGTAATGTAACCTATTTACCTTACAAATTAATATTTCTCAGCAAATGTTACATATCAATATCTAACCAAAATTAATATTTTATCATTAATTAATCATCAATGAAGTATTTAAGTTTTATGAACGTTTTAATCAGGCGAGCAGCATGTCAGTGTCCTTTTACGAAAACGCCCCTTTAGTCAGCGACAAGATTACGGTCTTACTACGTTAAAATCCGGGAATCAATGCCCTGTGGCACACTGAGCGCAGATAACCGTTTATGTAACAATAAGAGTTTGGAGACGGCTTTAATAGCTAATGATGAAAACTTTATTATAAATCTACAACGTTTGTTTTCATGTTAAGTTATTTGTCTGTTACTCTAATATTTTAAAAGTTGTTGTAACATATAACCATAATTTAGTTGTTCATAAAGCTGTCTTAAGTACAAACAGTGTCCTTATTTCTAGGTCTTGTAGTTTTTCTTGTACTTATATCTCACCCAACTGAAATCTTACGAACTACTCCCCAAGAAAGTATCATACGGACACATTTTCCTGAAATACATCTTGGAATTATAAAATTCAGTTAATAATCCTGAAGTTACGTATATATATATATTTAAAAAAAAATCGCCCAAAAATATTTTAGAGACGTTTATCTCAATAGTTTTTATATTTCGAATGGTCCATCGACAGGAAGTATTTTACGCACAGCCTGTGTCGTTCAATGGCTTTACAAATATTGATGTTTTTTACTTTCTTATAGGTATACGGCCATCATGCATCCTTTGAAGCCCCGGATGTCTAGGAAAACGACACTCAACATCACTCTGTGGATATGGGTTGCAAGTAGTACATTATCTCTACCGAATATACTTTACTCCACAACAATGAAGGAAGTTTACCCAAATGGAGGGTATCGGGTTATATGTTATATGATCTGGCCTGATGGACCGACCACTCAAAGCTACACTGAGTATATGTAAGTTTACGGAAATAATCTTTATCTTAAAATACTACATAGCTGACAATCATATTCTGTGCAGATTAATCTGTGTTCCTCTCTTAAACAACTGCACCAATAGCGATAGACGGAATTTTAAAGTTTGATACACTTGGGGAACAAAGAAATAACATTGTCTGCATCTTTAAATCAAGCCTTTTAAACAAGAAGCCGCCACCATTATCACGATTCAATGAATATTGAAACCAAACCGCTTTTTAGCTATTTAGTGTATTGTTTGTAATTAAGCACAAAGCTATACAATGGGTTATCTATGCTGTGTCCACCACAAGTATCAAAACTCGGTTTTTAGCGTTATAAGTCCACAGACATGACGCTGAGCCGCTGGGGGCATTTGATGTCGTTAACATTCAATTACTTCTATTTTGTTTTATAGTTTTAGGATAACTCTCATGGGATATTTTACTTGCAATTTTAATGTGCGTATTTAACTATCGGCGTAATTTAACCAAAAGAACAAAATAAAGTCCTAGGGTCTGGAGTATTTTTGAACAATGCACCAGAAATTACAGAAGTAAAAATATTTTTTATGAAGAGTCAAATTATTAAAAAAAAGAAATAATTAAATATTTCTCTACAAATACAAATATAATGATCGTTGAGTTAGATCAGATGCACTGATGAGTCTAACCATACTACAAAATTGAAATGTTAGCCAATTAAAAATATTCCTCCACTGATAACACAATCCTGCGAATTTAAGCTTCATAAAAGTTGTTTTTATTTTGATAACGGATTTTCCATAATTCAGCTACGCAGATTTCGAAACTAATATTCATTTTTTCCTATCACGTAAGGATTTTTTTTACAAATCGGGAATAAAAAAAACTCTTACTTAAATCCAATTATTATTTCGTTTACCACAATTAAATTTTTTTACTATTATGTTTTTTAACAAAAATAAAAACAAGCTGAAGAAAAGGGAAGAACACTGATGTCCAACGAATATCCATCCTCATTCATCCTGATTTTTTATGTGTGAAATCTACGTCTTTTAGTCTCGAAAATACGTGTTGTGGTCTTTCTTTTATGTATTGCGAAAAATCTGTACGTGATGGAGAAAAAATATCATTTTCGGATTCAGCGTACAGGAATTACTGGAGAACATGTGAACAATTTAAGACAATGAAACAATCGCAGGCCTTTGTAATCAGTCCTTTTAATACAGATATGACTATGTTACTTCAAGCTTCACTATGCCATCTTTAATTTATGTCCTAAGTTCGAAATGTTTTCTTGTCTGTGACACACTGTGTACGTACCAAGCAAAGACTCATTCAAAAAAGTATACGAGCTCATAATGAATATTCTGAGTTGTTCGTTAGCTTTCTTTAAACGCTTAACTCTACAGATGTTAATAACTTGTAACAATAAGTCAATAAAACGTTCAAAAATAAACTAAAACTTATATAGAACTAAGAGATTATTATGACTATATTTTGTAACTAAATAACTACCAAGCTATCACTAAGTAGTTTTTAGATTATATGCAGTTTTAAGTTATAACTATAGCCGGTACAACCTACGTTTCAAAATTTTAAAGTATCAGATATTCCATTACAAAAAAACAACATAAAATACAACATTTTAAGTTCTGGATAAGAGTAAGTTATTTATTTTATTTTTCTTTCCTTCCATTTTTTCCCCCTTAGAGAGATAGCTCGTTTTATAGTACTTTAAAGATTCACCAAAGTCACGATTCATCGCGTTTCATTGGTCACGGTTCGAGAAACGGTTCGTTTGCGCCTCACTTTGGTTCATTTTTTCTTTTTTCCCTAAAATTTCTTTTATGTTAGTAGTTAGAGCAGTACTTGACAGTCACGCTGCCAGAGGGCGCCACACGTATGAAGTCACAGTTGCACTAGGTATCACCTGAGGGCGCACTGCTAGACAACCATGACAAAAAACGATGACGTTATAGTTCCACAAAGTGGAACAAGAGGGCACGTATATCTTAGGGAGGGGTGATATAATAGTTCAATACCAGAAGGCTGTTACTATAGGCGGATTGTGTTAATAAGGTTTATAGGTGGACTGTAATTCTATAGGTGGTTTGTGTTACTAAAGATAGAGTTTGTGTAGATCAAAGGTGTTGCTAGGCGGGTTTTGTTACTATAGACTGATGGTCTTACAAAGGCGGATTATGTTACTAATGGTTGTATAGAGATTTCAACTTACATTTAACTACATATGTTTTAAGAAGGTGTTTTTATACTTCTGTTAGACAGCATGCAGGTTTCAGCATGTCTCATCTTATTTTTCATTTATTTGTGTTTCTATAGGATGAATGTTATTAACATTTTAATACATTTCTGAAAGGATTGTATCATACCTTATATTTTTATAAGTATTGAACAAGACGGCCGATTGTTTTTATATGACTTAGTATGACTTATACTGATTACAGTTTTGGTTTCTATATTTAAGCATGCTTTTTACTATTATTGTCCTATAAAGGACACTTATTTAAATACCATGCAATAATTTAACATAAATACTTGCATTATCACTAATTTGACTTTATTCTATCCATATAATTGTGTTCTTGACAAAAAATTTCAAGTTGTTATTTCTTACGATAAAGGACAAGAAAATACACAACCAATTTTGATTTAACATACTGATTATAGTTTTAGTTTATACATTCAAACATACTTTTTACAATTAATGTCCTGAAAAGGACACATATTTTCATGTTTAGCTTTTATAAGTCAGTTGAGTTTAAAGGCTCTATGCAAAGAGCAATTACTGTTGTTACCTCATTGTCTAGCAGAGCCTGTTTCTTAGTAACTGCATATAGTCTATACATTTGCTTGGTGTCTTTTAGCCCATTCCTGACATGAGTCACGTGTTTGATATTCAAGCCTATTGACCGGCTCAATAAACTTTGATTTTAAAAATATATAGATCAGAACATCGAGTTCTGGAAAAGCTTTTCACTTTTGTGTTTGCTAAAACAGATAACACTTTCGTTTGAATCTGGAACTCTCTATCTGACTCTCGGTTTTACTAGAAGAAGAGGGAGACCAATATGACAGAAAATTTGTATTGAAATAAAAGTTGAACAAGTTAATTATAATACATTGTCACTAGCTATGTATTTACATTATACTTAATATCGAAAATAAACGGTTAAAACTCTACATAATCATATATAATTCTACATAAATTTTATGTTCACTATACCTTAATTTAAAAGTCAGCAAACATAGTTATTTAACTTTACATAGTGATACAAAACACTAAACGTGTATTCAAAATATTCTACTTCTCAGTATTTGATGAGTTGGTAAAATAGTAGCCTAGCCAAGAGTTGGCGGTAGGTGGTGATGACTAACTGCATTCCCTCTAGTCTTACACTGCTAAATTAAGAACGGTTAGTGCAGATAGCCCTCGTGTAGCTTTGCGCGAAATTCGAAACAAATCAAAACCAAACCAAGTATTTAATGGGACATTTCAGTAAGCGTACAATTCTTTCATATTTTATACTCATTACTGTGCCCGACTGTATCAGACGGCTTAAAATGTTTTGTTGTTTTTCAAAATGAAAGGTCGATTAAATTCTACTTTTAATATCTACTTAGACGTCAACATATAAAATATGTGAGATTTCATTATACCAAGGATGGTAACATAGTTTGTTTTTCTGGATAGTGTTGATAATTTCAGTCTGCAACATACAGTCTAATTTTTATTTTTTAATTTTAACAACTGTTCATCGATGTTTCAATGTAGAACCATAAACTCTAAATAAGGCAGTTGTCACATGTACTGAAACATTTAGTAACAAAACTAAAAAAAAATCTCAGACTAAAGTATCACACATACTGAAACAATTGTTAACAAAGCTTCAACATACACTAATATACTACTTATGAAAATATCTTAGTATATAAATTACAGACCTATACATGTTTAGCTTAGTGTCTTAATATTCTTTGTATAAGTGTAAAAGATAATACGTGACATGTTACCATAACATTGTTTGAAAAGCTATGCTAAAATGTCTCGTGATAAACGCAATATTTGTTTACACAAATGAAAAATATATACTCTAATTGAAATATAACAAGTATAATATATAAAAGTTGTATGAAAACTAATACAGTATTTTATAAACTAAGACGTTTATAGTATATTAGTGTATCTTGCTAATAAATGTTTATGTTTGTTAAGTGTGTGTGTGATTTTACTTACAGATAATAATCGTAGCACTATGATGAAGCATGAGTTTTATATAAAACATATAATGGAGACTTGTTAGAAACTAATATTCATGAGGTGTAATTTGTCATCGAGTGCACTTGTACAAAATCTATTACATTTGAAATTAAACCCTGATTGTAAGTGAAAATAAAAAACCGAAATAAGGTACTACCATTTGGTGGTAAGTAAGATAAACTTACCTCAATCTACTAAACGTACGACCACTTTCTTGACTACTTTAATAAATGATGGAATGTTAATGACAGATATAGTGTTTTGACTGATCTCTGATACGTTTCCAGCCGACACTACGAGCTCAGGTACTGGGCGATAGGCCTCGTCTGGTATCGACGACAGACTTATGCATTTCGATGTTCTCGTAACTTAAGAATGTCGTCGTACATTTAGTTGATGTTTATAATTTTTCTAGTATGTCTAGATAAATGTATGATTGTGTCTCGTATATGTTTTAGTAACTTTCATAAATATTCATTTCTCACGTCTCTCGACTTTATCAAAAAAGGTTAAACTAGACAAATAATTATCCAATCTTTGATCTTTAATCAAACTCTTATTTATTTATTCTTCTTTTATTATTTTTTAATTTTCATTTTACTTTGGAGAGCAGTCATCTTCCCAGAACTGTCTGCAGGCAGTGAAGGGTGATTATAGACGTAGGACTTGTTCCCAGAACTGTTTGCAGGCTGTGAAGGGCGATATAGACGTAGGACTTGTTCCCAGAACTGTCTGCAGGCAGTGAAGGGTGATTATAGACGTAGGACTTGTTCCCAGAACTGTCTGCAGGCAGTGAAGGGCGATATAGATGTAGGACTTGTTCCCAGAGCTGTTTGCAGGCAGTGAAGGGTGATTATAGACGTAGGACTTGTTCCCAGAACTGTCTGCAGACGTAGGACTTGTGGGCTTGATCACCCACCCACATCTTGCTCTCCTAATTTCTATTTCTTTTGGTAATGTTTTCATGTGAGACAGGCGAACGTAGGTTAAGACTGATAGGTGGTGAATCCCCACTGCAATGTGGGTCGTACTTCCGCAGTCACCTCCAAAATCCAGGAAACATTTTATATCCTACATTATAGCCTGTACCTTGGGGATTCTTTTCATTTATGCAGCGTTTTTACTTTAATTTTATTTTTTGTTTTGTTTATTTATGTTTGGACTTGTTTTTTTGTTCATTGCATTATTATTATTATACATATATATAAATGTGTACAAATAGTAGAGAAACATACCTTCAGTATTGGTTACGAGTGTACACTTTGTGGTGAATATTTTCAAAATGTTTCATCATTTTATCATCATCTCCACAAAAATCATTTTGGTGAGTGTCCTATTTTATCAATCTACGTACTGTATAACCATCCTAAATATAGATTTTGTTTTCTTTTTAATTAAGCGGCTTGGAAAATCTGTTAGTCGGGTTTTTATTTTCTCACAAATATCGCATTTTAAATTATTCAATAAACGGTAAATTAGACTACCACGTGCTGTATCGACAATGGCAGGCTCGTCAAAGCGTAAAACAGAGGACGCACATTTAACCTACAAATCAGTTGTTTGTGAATATCTTGTGTTTCAAGTTCTGGATCAAAATGGAGTAACAAAAACTGATCTTCGAAAATAATACGGAAAATATGTGAAGTGTAGCTCAGTTATAACACGGGAAGAACGTCAAACATGCCCACACGTCTGAGAAAAAAAATATTATATTACATTGCTATAAAAGAAAGAAATTAAAGGTAAACTCTTCCAAGCTTCACTTTCTGTAAGCAGTAAATGGCACGTGCTCCTCAGCTGACACTGCAAGTAGTGCTTAAAACAAAATTAAACCAGAACAGACAAGGAGCAAAAGACATGATAAGAGCTATTGGAATCTTTATAGCTAAAGATATGAGACCACTTTTAGTGGTGGATAATCGTGGCTTTATTACTGTGTTTAGGGTTCTGGAACTAAGATATGAGGCCCGGCATGGCCAGGTGGTTAGGACGCTCAACTCGCAATCTTTCAGCCATGGAGGTGTTATAATGTGACGGTCAATCGTTGGTAAAAGAGTAGCCCAAGAGTTGGCGGTGGGTGGTGATGACTAGCTGCCTTCCCTTTAGTCTTACACTGCTAAATTAGGGACGGCTAGCGCAGATAGCCCTCGTGTAGCTTTGCGCGAAATTCATAACAAACCAAACTAAACTAAGATATGAGATCCCTTCTAAGACTCACTCTAGTACTGTAGTATTTCCTGACCTCTACAAAAATAAAAAAGATAAGTTGGATAGTAAAAGGTGATTTTTTGATGTTCACTTACTAGTGACGGATGTAATCCAAGGCTACATTACTATAACTAAACATTTTATAAAGGACAACTGGGAAATGAGACAAATGAACAAGACAAATGAATGACGCCTAGCTGAACACTTGGAGGATGTACTGAAGGAGGTTGTATCTTCTTGGGTCTTTAAAAAGTTTAGCAATCTAACAATTATATCTGATAATGCAAATAACATTTCCAATGCTGGAAAACTGGCAGAACACTCACTCCATGTGCAATGCTTTTCACATATTCTTAATTTGGCTGCTCAGAAAGACCTTCGTGTGTTACAAGTGTATGTGTTGGTAGGACGGGTTAAAAAAGAAAATCCACAGAAGTTCAACTGAAAGGAAGTCAGCTTATTCTTAAGCTTTCTCAGCATAGGCCGATTTAAGGTGTCCCAACTAGGTTAATGTCTAGTTCTGACATGGTGTCTCTTTTCAGCTTATTCTTAAGCTTTTTCAGCACTGGCCGATTCAAGGTGTCCCAACTAAGTAGAATTCTAGTTCTGACATGGTGCCTCTTTCAGCACATTCTTAAGCTTCCTCAGTACACGCTAATTCAAGGTGTCCCAACTAGGTAAACGTCTAGTTTGCTTGAAACAATAGCCCAACATTTATATACATGATTATATTAAACAGTGCCTTTGATATTGTTTGCTATGAAGTTGATGCTTCAGATGATCAACAGTTACATTTTAAGAAATGAATGTCATGTTCCTACATAAGCGCAGTATTAATCACTTTGTGTTTGCTATTCTAACAAATTTAAGATAGTCACAGGTATCGTGATAAAAGAATCGCTATACGCATCGAATCGTGAGGTAAGCGTATCGTTACAGCCCTATTGTTTGAGAAGAATGGGATATCAAAATAATCCAAACTCCTTTGAAAGCTGAGCCACTAGAAGAATAACGATAAGCAAACTCGTCCTCTGTTTTCTAGATCAGTACGATAAGCGTTTACACAAAGAACGTAGAGCCATCATGAAACTATCATTTCACGATCCATTCCCTAACAGCCACATGTTGTCAGAGTAAAAGCGTTATGTAGTGCCCGTGGTATGTGGTAAAATAACTCGTATAGTGAACTTTTTCTGCTCTAGAAAATGTGTATTCAAGATTAGATTTAGATTTTTTCTAAGCAAGAACACATTTGTTTCCACTCTAAGCGTCTTATATTTCATGAGATCATATAGAACACAATCCATAAATATGATATTTTCTGCATCATCAATAAGTGATGTGTATAAAAAGTATCCCTGGCCATGTAACTCAAACTTTTGTTGAATGCAAGTATGAAAATTATCTTCTAGAAGAGATAACATTACTATAGCAACTTTAAAGATCGTTAATTACCTTGAAAGTACCACATATATATTAGTAAGTGCCTATGTTACTGTCTTAAGTTATTTCAATTGAATTATCGTGAAAAAATAACACGATAATTTAGAATATTCGTGTTTATGAAAGCGCAAAGCATATTTATCGTATGAATCATCAACGTATACCTTGTGAGTTAGCGCCATTGTTAGAAAATTTTTAAATAATGTTATTATCATATAACATGTGCGACATGTTTAAATATATGTTATTATTAATGCATTTTTAAGAAATAAATTAGGTATTTTAGAATTCAATATAATTTCACTCATTGATATAAACTTTAATTAGTGATTATTCAATAATTAAGTTAAACTGAACGAAACATATTTCCAATAAAAGGTAATATTCAATAAATTATCATTTAAAAACGTAAGTTTACAAATAAATGCAAAATAAAGAAGTTTTAAAAATCATGAAACATTTCGCCAGGTTAACTCCTAACATCTTATGAATATTTTAGAGATAAATTGTTTTAATATTTTGCCAGGTAAAAGAAAACTGGTCATTTAGATATAATTCCTAATCTTAAAACGAATATTTTTGACGAAACCCTTTTTATTGGAAAGCTTAGATATTTGTTTGTTTGTTTTGAATTTCGCGCAAAGCTACACGAGGGCTATCTGCGCTAGCCGTCGCTAATTTAGCAGCGTAAGACTAGAGGGAAGGCAGCTAGTCATCACCACCCACCGCCAACTCTTGGGCTACTCTTTTACCAACGAATAGTGGGATTGACCGTCACATTATAACGCCCCCAAGGCTGAAAGGGCGAGCATGTTTGGTGTGACGGGGATACTTAGATATAAAAGGTATATCATGGAAAGACAAGTGGATCGTCTGAAGATATCTTACTTTTAACTTTGGAATAGTTTTTCTAAAGAGGTTAACCTAGATGATACAAAATAAGCGTGATTAAAAGTTCAGTAGCTTTAATCTTTATCTAACAAACCTTTTCTTGATAAGCTATCATTTCAATTAGAAGTTACGTTTTGTTTTTCGTGCTACAAATATCTTTTCTTGGTTTTTTAGACTCTTTTTCTTTCTCCTTCATCATATAGTTATAACGTGGTTATTCTGGTTCTGGCTTACATTCTACCTATTACCTCAATGGCATTTACCTACTTTCGAGTTGGCCAGGAGCTATGGGGAAGTCAAAGTATTGGCGAACGTACAGCAGGACAAATAGAAGCTATAAAGTCCAAAAGAAAGGTTTGGTTAACTCACATTTCTTCTATATATCTCATAATCTTACTGAGCTCTATTTTTTTAGCAGTGACTTTTTTTATTCAATTTAGCTCATAGTGGTATTACTGTAAATAAGTACATAACCAGGCCTTATTAAAACGTTGTAAAAAACGCCTTTAAAAGAAATCATGTTGGATTGGTTTCATCTTTATCTTACTTTCTTAACCACATGTTTGAATATTGTATTGGAATTATTGTAACTTGCAATATAAAGTTGTGTGGTTTGATCTTCGTATCAGGGGTAACGCTAATCTGAAATAAAACATAATGTTTTTCCGGAAAAAAGTGTCTAATTTTTGTTGAATTCCGGTCTGTTCCTAATTTGTTTTCTATATTTTTTCATCACAGATTGTGAAGATGATGATGGTTGTAGTGTTCATCTTTGCTGTATGTTGGCTTCCTTACCACATATACTTTCTATTGGCTCACGACCACAGGGAAATTACAAACTACAAAATCTTCCAACATATCTACCTTGGAATCTACTGGTTAGCCATGTCCAACTCGATGTATAACCCCATTATTTACTGCTGGATGAACAACAGGTGAGGGACCAACTTTAATTGGTAAAAAGATTAAATTGCAGGTTTTATTTCAGTTATATTTTTCAATATTAATTAGGAATGGGCGTGGCTTAGACTCGTTCTGTGAATCCGACAGTTCGCGTGTGAGCAATAAGAGTGATGGTGAAATCTCACTATTTCGCCATACAAGAGTAGCCCAAGAAATAATTGTGTGTTCTCTTGACTAACTGCCTTCTTTCCAGTCTATCACTTCAACATTAGGCTATGCACAGATAGCCCTTGTGTAGTTTTGCGCTAAACAAAGTAAAATTAACCAGACAAAGTGTTATTAATAAATAGTAGTCTTATAAAATATAAAAAATAAGTTAAATAGGCTAAAAATAATTAGGCTAATAAGTTTAGTGATGAAAGTAAAGCGAAGTGAGAGACGCAGTTAAAAGACACAATTAAAAACATTCATTAAAAAAAAAACATTGAGCTAGACCAACATTAAGAAAAGCATGAGCTTAAAAATATAATTTACAATGTATTAAAAACTAGAAACGTCGCCTGAAATTTTATAAAGTCAAATAAATTAAGGTAACTAACTGTTCGAAAAACAAAATCTGTGTGGTTTTTTAGAAGATTAAGGTGTCAAATTATTGGTAGATTAGGGAGTTTTTGGAATCGCGGTTTGCGCTTTGT